AGCGAGAGAGAGGGAGGGAGGGAGAGGGAGAGGGAGAGGGAGAGAGAGAGAGACAGAGAGAGAGAGAAAGAAAGAGAGAAAGAAAAAAAAAGAAAGAAAGAAAGAAAGAAAGAAAGAAAGAAAGAAAGAAAGAAAGAAAGAAAGAAAGAAAGAAAGAAAGAAAGAAAGAAAGAAAGAAAGAGAAAGAAAGAATTTGTATCTTTTTTTCTGGTTCTGGGGTAACATGCTCAACAAATCTTAAAGATTCTGCCTGAATGTACTAATCATGGAAGGTTCAATCTATATTTGCAGAACAGTTTATTATATTGCCTGGACTGGCAGACATTTATTCCAAGAAGAGAACCCAAAATAACTTAACCATTGAAAGTCATGGCCACTCTCCAGCATCTATAAAAGTTTTTTTCTCTAATTGTACACCTGACATAACCATTACAATCTCCAGTTATGCATCCATGTAAAATACAGTGCAGTGAATGGACCCCACTTGCTAGGTCCCATCCCTTTTCTTCCCTCCTGACCAGTTAAGTCACTGTTAAATATTTATTTACCTATGTGGATGCCCATGCACAGGTAAATATTATGTACACACTCACATGAGTGTATTCTGTGTCCATTTTGATTAATGATTTTAGGTGTGAAAATGAACATATAATCATGGGGTTAGGACATAAGAGAGAAATAGATAAATATCTGAGGAAAACGGAAACTGGCGTATTCTCTAAATAGACAGTAAGATTGATGGACATTGGCAGACACATATACAAATACATACAATCACATAAACAATGAAGTTCTTGTTTAAATGACGTTTTTATATGTATGAGAAACACATGTAGCTGTAAGTTACCCAGTATAAAGAACAGAAACCCTGGGCCAGGGATGCAGCTTAGTGGTTTGGTGGCCTGCCTTGCAAGTGCAAGGACCCAAGTTCAATCCCCAGTACCAAAAAAAAAAAAAAAGAACAGAAACCCTCAATAGCCCGTCAACCTGTAACTTGAATGCTCACCATCCTGTCAAAACGTCCGTGGTCACACATGGTCAACCCTCCACTGTCTCCTCTCACTATCTTGTTTTTGTTCTTTATTCAATGTGTATGCACCCGATTCTAAACTGTCTGATATTGCATTCCAGGAAAACAAAATCTAACTGAGATATTTTATGGCTTAACTTTTGTTCATGTTTCTGAAACACATGTTATTACATATGTAGATGTCATTAACCTATTTTCATTGATGTACAGTATCCCATATACAGAATTTAAAACTGTACAGAATTACCTATTCCCCCTTTTGGTTATTTCCTGTTGCTATTAATATTCATCTATATATCTACAAGCACACCGTAGAGAAATGCATATTTGACTTGACAGGCTATTTTCCTAAGCTCTTACACAATTTTCATTTCTTCAGAGTTTCCTTGTATGCATGCTCACTAAAATGCTGTATTAGACTTTTTAATCTCTGTCAACATAGTAAGTGTAAAACAGTATCTTATTGTGGCTTTCCTCTATTGTATTTTAGTCGGTTTTCTTAAATGTCTTAGTTTTAAATCAACATATATAGGAAATAAAAGGGGGCAACATTTTGATGTAGAGATAATACCACTGGAGACAATAAATAATTAAAATATAATTTTTCAAGTCTAGCTACAAAATTCTTGGATTTTTCTACAATTTTCCACTAGACTACGACATCTTACCTTCTTTTCTTTAGAGGACTTTCCTCCATAACAAACCCGTGAAGACCAAAGGAAAGGTTCAAATTGGAAGTGTGTGAACCAGTTGGCGATGGGACTGGCAGGTGGCTGTTCTCACCCAGCGAGTACATAATGGCGCCAGTGTGAGCAGGAATGAGGTTCTTGCAACTGTGAGAGCTCAGATTGGAACCCATGGATTCAGAACTGGTGTGGGGTGAGAGTTCCTCCACGTTAATATAGTTGATATCCAAATCACCAACCTGGAAGTTGAAAGAAAGATAGATGCTCAACAAAAGTTGAAAAGAGTGACTTGGCTAAGAATTAATTAAAAATCTGCTAATTTAAAATCTATCCACCTTATTTATCTTTTCTTTATTTTTCTTTTGTTTGTTCTCATTTTTATTTTGTTTTATATGAACGGGAAACTCTTTTGCAATCTATTTTTGTTCATATGACTGCTATCTTATAATTCACATTAGGAAGAAAACTGTTTCATAAATTTGTTTTATATCACAAAACAAGAAACTGGTTATGCTTTTAACATTTTATGAACACTTGCTCAAAATGAGGTGGAAATATTTTAAATACTAGAGAAAAAATAAGAGTATACAGCTTATTTTCAAAAAGCAGTTCAGCAGAATCTGGGTAACCGAGGTAATGGTGGTCACATAAATCTGAGTCTCTTCAGAATCACCACCAAACAAAAAGAAAAAAAAAACTATACAATGTACATGCAAATCATACATGTGAATCAGAAGACAGGAAGTTTCATAATCTTCAAATTATCTGTAAATAATAAAATAAGCAACAAGTCCAGCAAACAGCCCCTCATAATCCCACTGCAAAGAGTAGAAGCAGTTTGACAAAAGTGAATGGAAAGAGAAGAGGGAGCTAGAGAAAGGCCTAAAGCTTAACTAAAAATCATCAGCAGAAAGAAGCCTGTACACAGGAAAGAGTCCTGGTGGATCAAAGCACTCACTCATAAAAAAGGGCCACAAAGCACTTGCAATTTGAGGCGTAATTTTCTGAGGAATAGGACAGTAATAAGAAACTCTAACATCATGTAAAGATAGGGCAGGTACTGCAGGTGTAGTTCAGCGGAAGTTCATACACTTGACCCTGGATTCAATCCCTAGCATAAGAGAGAGGGAGAAGGAGAAGAAGAGGGGAAGAGGATGGGAGAGGGAAGGGAAGGAAAAAGGGAGAGGGGGAGTGGGAGGGAAGGAGGGAGAGAAAGAGGGAGGGAGGGAGGGGGACAGAGGGAGGGAGAGGGGGAGAGAACACCCAGAGATAAGGAAAAGGAAAATTTTAACATTGCCGTAAAAATGAACTAAGGCAAGAACGATCAATGAATGCTGAAACTAGTCGATGAAAGTCTAGTAAGAGAAGGTTTGCAGAGACTCAAAATATACCTCAACACATTTTTTAATAATTTAAAGGAAGTAGTAACTTTACTGGAGAAGCTTGGCAGATCAAACTTAAAGATCATCAGTAAAGGAACAGATTGAGGTCCCATGCCTCCTGCTAAAAACCACTGAGAAAAACACGACAGCATTTCTGTGTATTTCTGTAGTATTCCTCCCAAATATGGGATCCAGTTATGAGGAGATATCAGACAAATCAAAATTGAAGGACATTCTAGCAAAAAAAAAAAAGTCTTTGATGCTTCAAAAATACCAGTGTCATAAAAAAACTATGGAACTACTTCATAATAAATGAGACTAAAGAGAAGAGATAACTAAATGTAATATGTATTGTGGAATTTTCTTTTAGTACGAAGAATATTATTGGGACATCTCCTAAAAATGAATAAGGTCTGGAAGGAGATAACAATGTTTTACCAATGACAAATTTCCTGGTTTCATTAGTTATATTGTGCTTATATTAGACTGTGACCATATTTTTAGGAAAATGAACATAAATAATCAGGCGATAAAGGAACACCATATTTTCAACTTACTTTCAGATATTTAAAAAATTATATACATATTTTATCCATTTGCATATACAAATGCATACACAGATATACTTAGAGAATAATAAAGTAAAATGTAGTAAAATATTAACTTTGGAGGAACTGGAATAAAATGTATGCAAGAATTCCTTGTACTGAACATAGGCCTGAAATTATATCCAAATAAAAAGTTTGAAAGTAGTTTACATGATGAGGGAATTTTCAAGTTAGTTTCTCACCATAGAAATGTTCACATTGGGTAGATTAATAACCTTGAAAATTAGTGGGAAACAGCAGACATAAGCTAAACGTGATTTTAGGTTTCTATGTCAAGTTGAGACACAGGCAGTTACATAAAGTTCATTTAAAACACTAAATCTTATTTTAAATAAGAAGAATTTGAGCCACTCACATTTCCATTGCTATTTCAGTGGACATAGGAACAGTGGTCTTGGCAACAATATGTGACAATACAAAAACATACATTAACAAAAGCAAAATAAAGAATCAGGACTACATTAAACAAAAGTCTCTGTACAGCAAAGAAAATAGTCAGCAAAACAAAAAGGATGCCTCTGGGATGGGAGAAAAGACTCACAAACCATTTATCTGATAAGGGGTTGACATCTAAAGTCTATAAAGAACTCAAGAGTAAAATGAAAACAAATAATTTGATTTTTAAATGGGCAAATGAGTGGCCTCCAGATACACGGAAAGGGACCAGCCATCGTGAATCATCAGGGAAATGCAAATAATATCACAATGAAATTTGTACCTGTTAGGATAGCGATTATCAAAAAGTCAGAAAGCATCGTTGAGGATGTAGAGAAAAGGAAGCCCTGTACACTGTTGGTGGGAATGGAAATTGGTACTGCCACTGTGTACGACAGTGTAGGGGTTCCTTAAAAGACTAAAATATAACTATCATATGATCCAACAATCCCACTGCTGGGTGTATGTGTGAATGAAATAAAAATCATTCTCCCCAAGAGAAAGCCACATTCTCGTGTTCATGGCAGCACTGTGTACAACAGCCAAGATACAGAATTAACCTGTGTCCATCAAATGCAGAATTGAATAAAAAAATAAAAAAGCATGTGTGTGTCATTAAAAAAAAAAAAAGAAATCCTGGCACTTGTGACAATATGAATAAACTTGAAAGACATTTTGCTAATTAAAATAAGCCAAACACAGAAGAGCAAATACTGCAAGATCTCACTTATATATGGAATCTTAAAAATTAATATTCATAGGAACAGTGAGGACAAGGGTGGTTGCCAAGGGTTAGTGGATGAGAGAAATGGGGAGATGTTGGGCAAAGGATCTTTCAGTGAGTCAGTTCTAGAGAACTAAGGTACAGGATGGTGATTTAATTGACAGTAATGCAGTGTATATTTGAAATATTCCTGGAATAAACCTGCGGAATAGCAAGAGACAACAATGAGCTTCATTATGGTCATGTTTAACAATGCATATCAGAACATCAGACTAAATACATACACGATTTTAACTATATTTTGAAAGGCTGCAAAATAAATATTATATTATCACAAATTAATAAAACAATAAACCGTGTGCATGTCTGCATACAGTGGAACACCAGCACTTATTGTTAATTGGTCTCAGGAAGCATGTCAAGTTTCAAAAACGATGAGCACCAAACAAATTGTTTTAGGTGGACAGAGTAGGGAGTCACAGGTCAGTTGATACCCCCAAGCTCTAGCGTGTGCATCAAGTATTGAACAAGTGACAAGTACTGGGACATAATTTTTCCATCAAAATGCGTCGAGTACAAATTCAAGGAGTTTCAAAGCAGTCAAGTGTCAAGCTATGACTGTAGGTATATATTCTGTGTATGTACATATACATGTCTCAGAGTGTAGCTAGAGCACAAAAAGTCCAATTAACCTGTGCCTTGAAAGACTGTCCCCCCAAACTATCACTTTGTGCCTTGCTCCAACCTAGATTTTCTACATCTAGGGCTGACATTCAGCTGGTTTATACCAAGACAACAATTACTTCCAACTGATATCTATTGTGATTTATTAGCTTCTCTATCATTTTGAATTCCATCCCGATCTATGCCATTTACAGAATGCATTTGTTCTTATAATGCTTTGTAACACTAAAGGAAAAAAGTAAGTTATTTGTCTAAAGGCTAAAACCGAGATCTATTAGATAGGAAAAAATTTCTGAAACTTTCCCTCTTTTGCCTTAAGAATTTATCTAATTTAACTGCTGTACTGTCTTTCATATGACCTCACATTTAAAGTTATGAAAATGTAAAACTGCTTTAAAACTTTTATTATATACCTTTCCTTGGCCACATCACTTTTTTTTTTTTTTTTTGTACCAGGGATCAAACTCCAGACCTTGCACTTGCAAGGCCGGCAATGGAACCACTGAACGAAATCCCTGGCCCTTCACCCAATATTTCTAAACTGTGACACCTTTTAACCTTTACATTTTTTTAAGTTGAAGGTGATGCTTTTTCTATATATGATGAAACTCATGTCAACTGAAGCACGATCTCAGATGTTAAAATTATTATATGCATTTTTAAATCATGCTATGGAAATATCACCTGCATTTTGTCATTTGTCATATTTTCAGTACCATTTTTCTTTTTACTTTTAGCATTAAATAAAAAATAAAATTGGAAGCACTGAAAAAAATATGTAAGTGGCCCAAGGATTTAGCTCAGTGGCACCACGCATGCCTTGCAAGCACAAGGTCCTGAGTTCAATCCACAGTGCCGGTTC